TGACAGTGCCATTCTTTTTGGCAGTGGCTTTCCTACACCAATATCAACTCACAACATTTGTGGAACCACACGTGAAGCACCAGGCAGAAAGATTTCACTACATGGCATCTGGGCTGAGTGGGAAACATGGATAGAATCTAGCTGAAAAGCCCAGAACTGTCCAAGAAACACGGAATCTCCATGAAATCCTCTACCTGATTTTTAAAATTTCCTTTTAAAAATTTAGTTGAAAATTGAGTTTTAGAATGTAGCAATTTTATAATATGTATATAATATGAAACTTTGCACCAGAAATTTTGCATAGACAAATGCATAACACATAACAAAAATATTATTAAATGAAACACAATTAATGTACTGCTTCTTAAAAATAGCTGTCATTCTCAACAAAATCCTTCCACTCTGTTCATGTTTGCCAACTTTTGTTGAATTTACTGGAGTAAAGAGAATACATTTTGCCGTCAGACATTTCTGAAGTGTAGGCACTTCATCCTGATATGCCCAGACATGCAGCATCAGAAGGCTGCCCGCAGAAATCCCAAAATCTGGGCATTTACAAATAGAAATGAGCAGCAGGGAGTGACGTTTGATGCTGCAGAGCTAAGGTACAAAGATGACTAGGGAGATACCCAACATGTTCCCTCTCCACACCAAATCTGTCACCATCACATGCCACTTCAGGCACAGGGGAGAGATGGGGTTTTTCAGATTCCAATCGTTCATCTAGAGTGCTTCTGTTTTTTGTGTGGGTTTTAGGTTATTTTCTTTTGGTTTCACATGTATTTTTGAAACCAACAGGGAAATCGCTGTGTTCAAGACAAGTGATACCCTGGGACTTTACGCTAAGCAGCACCTAACTGGGGCAGGAAGAGCTGTGGTGTTCCCATGAGAGAGGCTAAGTGAGAAACTGTTCAACAAACCATGAGGAACAGTTGCATCAACCAAAAAGAAACTCCGAGGAAAGGAGCGTTTCCCCTTCAGAAAGCGGGCACCTCTCTCAGGTAGCCAAGATCCTGCTCTGGGGAAGATCCAGCACCCAACCTCTGCTGGGTTTGGGAGTACAGACCAGTTCCTCCCAAAACACATGGGACGAACTATGGAAGAAGCAAAGACAATACGATGGGCCTCCACATCTGCCTAGGCTTACCCAAGAACTCTGAGGTCACAGCACTTCTTGGGATTCACTTTCTATTTTCGCCCAGGGGCCAGACTACTTCTGCTATTTGTTGGGGCAAACGTTGCCTGGAATCCAGGCCAGCCCACCAGGGCAGCACAGCTCCCGACCTCTTCCATCTTAAGAAAAATTGCTCACTTGAAGAGGAGAGAATGGAAAATGTTTTGGCCAAGATTATTTTTAGGGGTTGGAGAACTTTCCTGTAAAGTAGTAAATCTGGGTTCCCAACCCCTTTACATATGGAATAATATGATTCACATCTCCCACACATCCTGATTGAGCAATTTAAACAAAATACATCAGGCTCTCTAATTGGCTGATTGGTAGAAATATCTGCTTGGGCCTAGACCACTTGAACCTTCTGGTGATTTGGACCAAAGTCCTTAGAACCAGTCTGGCCCTCCAGGATGCTTCTGCTTCAATAGTAGCAATGTGGGAAAAGACAGATTCAACACAATTACAATGACAGATTCAACACAACCTCTTAATCCTTGCTGTTATATCTTTTTGACATGCAATTACTAAGTAAGTTCCCTATAAAAATTTCAGTATAGAACAATAAAGGACTTTGCTAAAACGTGCACAGAAAAAGAAAGACCAAAAAAAACCAACACTTAACGCAATTTCTGAGCAATGATTTTTGGATTTCTTGGCAGGACCATAAGACCAAATGTACACTTATAGCAGCAAATTCTCTGGTAGCTCCCCGGTATCACTACAGGATCCTTGAGCTACAGAACATTTATGAAAACCACACTACCATTTCTGCAGGTGTGTAATGTGTTTTGTTTTTCTGGTTACTCATCTCCTAAGAAAAATTTCCAACACACATAAATTGTCATTGAAACACTATCTCCAAAAAGAATGCTTTGCATGATCCTGGCAATGGAATTATGATACTTTTGTCATTGGCCCTGTAAAGCATACCATCTTCTTGTATCACAGGTAATGCTCCAGGTTGACAGTTGGTGTGTCTCATTACACTCAAGTGGGATAACAATTACATCAGTGTCCACTTCAGCCATCTTCCCATTCTTCCGGAACTGGACAAGATTTGGTATGCATTCACAAATGTGATTGCTTCCTAGACAAACATTGATATTGCTTGGTTTTCCTTCGCTGTTGAGCAAGCTCCCTGGAGGGAGATCTTGCCTTTTGAAGATTTTGTAAAATACAATCTAAATCTGAGGTACTATGTTAAAACATGACATTCATACCTCCCATATGCTGACTCCTCAATGCGTTCTCTTTCCAGCTTTGTCATCTTCCCCGATGACTGAAAAACCTCCCTCTTCTCCTTTGTCATACAACTTCTTCAAACTTCATCTTTCACGCTTAAAAAGGAACAAGGAAGTTCCTTAAACGCAAGTGGAACTTTCAGCCATTTTGTTTTTAAAAGGAGACAGAGACTTTCTATTTTCGTGCTGCATGGCAATAGAGGCATAGTAACAGCTGCTTCCCACTCATGAGGAAGGGCTGTGGAATCGCACCCCGCTGGCATTTACTGGTACACCCATAGCAGTTAATTACTCCTGGTGCAAGTCTACTTTCCCTGATGAGTGCTGTGTTAATCCCATTACAGTATACAAATGGATACTTGCTTGCAATATCTTTGATTTGACAGGGATGTGTCTACTCGGAGTGATATGTGGCATTCAGATATTCCCCAACGATAGTTCTCTCCAGAGCTTGGTGTACCAGCCATCATGGTGGTTGACTAGAGAAGACCATGGCAGGATATCTCAAGACTAACCAGATAAGGCTGAAAATTGGAACATAAATTAAAACAAACTACAAATATTTCCTCTAGACTTCTACTTTAGCCTAAGGCATGGAAATTCACAGTATTTGCATACGATATGCTTGAGGAGAAATTTAAGTCTGTTACTACATATCCTACTCTTGTTTAAAAATGATGCAAGCCTGCCTGTAGGGAAAAAAAAAATGAGCAATCCCCAGAGTTTTTCACAAAAAAAAAATCCCCAGATATCTGTGTGGTTCCTTGCTGGCTGACAACCAACAGAGAACCAAAGACTTTGCAACATAGCAATAGTAAAGGGCTGATTGTTCAGGGTGCCAGTACTCCTGGGAGTCATGTGCAGGTCCACAAAGCAGTTTTTGGTTATGAGAAACATGAACATGGTATCTTAGCATCTTGCCCAATATGTTCGTTTCAAGTACAGTGCAGGGACATTTGGTTTCACTCTCACCTATTGTTGGAGCTGGTAGTGTCCTTCTACTTGGAAACATTTGGGGCAAAAAAGTTTGTTTTCTGAAGCCCGGGATTTTTTATGCAGACTGTTGAAGATGGTAATACTACTGTGAATGAGAGACACATAAGCACTCACAAATACTGTAATTTCAGCAAATGCTGAATACAATGAACCTTAAAAAGAAAGGAGTTGTAAAATGGATGATGTGTTTGTATATCTTGATGGACAACAGAAATCCCATCTTGCACAGAGCTATAGGAACTTAAGATCTTATTAACAGTTTTGAGGGTATCCACTGAAAGCATGCTGGAGGAGCTGGACATCAGCTTTATACCTCACTCATGACATTTAACGTTATTTCATTTAGTCATTGTTATGATTGCACTTAAATAGTCCACCAGCAGCTGGCATTTTCTTCCACACATGAACTAAACTTTTACAGCAGACCATTACATTTTAGTCATATTCCTTCTCCTGTTGCAAACACTACAGCCTAAAGAAGCAATCTCTGATCGAGCATTAGTGGTTTGCATTCATACTGCAGAATATTGAAGACTACTGGAAAGGAAAAACACCAATAAATCAGAGTGAAACATACCACAAACCTAATAATCCTCTTTCTTTATTCAAAATCTTAATTTTTTCTATGCAGGATGGCCACGTATATGCAGCCAGCTGGCTTGCAGCACTAAGCACTGAGCAGCACTGGGCCTTACCTCAGCCCATGGTGGGGGTCCTCACAGGCCCTCGTCTGACAGCCAACAGAAGAGGGGCGATGCATTTTGACCAAAACAGCTCTGCAGTCTGCTAAGCTCTTCGGTGGCAAAGCATTTACCCCGATGGTCTCACCCATCTTACCTGAAAACAGCCTCCTGCTTGCAAATCTCCCTGGTTATCAGGAGCAGAAGTGGCACGGGCTTGCTTACACCCACAGCAATTTTTTGAGTCTAGGAGTTACCATACTGATGCTAGAAGTTGAGCATTCAACAGGTGGCATTATCCTGGATTGGCTCTCTGGCTATGAATTCATCCCTGACTGTAGTTAGGAGTAGTTCTCATGTGCAGAGAGTCTGAGAGAAGAGGTTTTTTACAGCATTCATAATTGGCCTCTCTGTTCCCATAGAGCTTTACAGTAGTAAGATATACCTCTATCTAGAAATTATGTCCTACAGTCTCACTAATTGTGCTTGTACATATTAAAGTCCCAACAGTCCCATGTCCTGATGCACAGTTAACTGATGACCCAGCACTGCTTGTCCAGGGCTTACTGCTTTCTGAACAAGGTGATGAAGCAGCTTAGCTCAGAGCAATATAGATCAGACTAAGTAAGTCCTTTAAGTCCATCACAAACTTTAAACATTCCTATAGATAGATCAGTGCAAATTATTTATTTTAAATGCAGTACCAGAGAGAAAAGGGGAAAAAGTGGAGAGAGAGAGGAGGGAGGGAGATTTTCTATAAGAAAATAAATGCAGTACTAGCAGAAGTGTGAATTCAGGTTCCTCCTTCTCTTGAATGCCACGTAAGGCATTCACGAGCATCTGCCATGGTGTATGCAAGGATGCTCAGCACTTCTGAAGTCATGCACACACCCAGACAGAAAGAGCAAACAAACAAAAAATAAAGTAAGGGACAGCAATGGCAGAGGGTTTGGGAGCTTTAAGATGAGAAACAACAATTGAAATTTCATTTTATTTCACTTTGAAGGTTTAATCAAACACACTAGCAAGACTAGAGAAGCTGGGCTGTTTGCAGAAAGCAGAACATGAGCCATGCAGAACTGGAAAGAAAGAGCTCTCTGTGTGCTATCACACATAGAAAGTGGGAGGCAGGAGCTCCCCTCCTGCTGCATTTGCTCCTGGTGGTATGAGAAGGCAAAACCTGGGCTCACCTTGTCGGGTTGTTCCTGCCCTTTGGCACCTTGCAGCTGGACCCATTCATTTGGTGTTGGCCAAACTTGCTGCTGGCTGTGTGCTTTATTCCTGTGGTTCGTACCACAGCTCTGGCTGAGGAGAACACAACAGAATATAATTGCTATTGCTCAGGGAGCCAGGCACATGCTGATGGCAGCTACTGAAAGTCACTGTGTTGCTTGCAATTCAGTGCTAATATATCCCAAGTGGGCAAAATTACTACAGCTGCTTTTGTGCTGTGGGCAGAATGGGACATTGCATGAACAGTGGTATTCGGCCTCTTTCCCGAGACGCTCTATCCAGACTTTCTGGAGCTGCCAACATCTGGCTTCTTTACAAAGCAGAGTCTGAGAGAGGACATCCTACCTCAATTCCTGTGTCCCTGTGCCCCATGTTATGCCCTCCCCAGTTCTTTCTCTGTTCTTTCCTGCTTGGCAAAATCAGACGGTGACACTTCCAAAGCCAACTAGCAGCACGCCCTGAGCAGCTTGCCCCAGCCCATGGTAGCCTGTGCCTGAGTTGAATGGGCTCGCTCATTCTGGGCAAAGAATCCCTCAGCAAAATGCCAAAATTCCCAGCACCCCTCCCTGTGTGGCGAAGGAGATAAGGCTGCAGATAGCAGGTAAATAACTGCGTGGCATTTCCTGCGCCTGCTGCCCCAGGGAGCCCTGGGTGCTGACCTTCCTCCACCGCTGTGTGCTGGAAACACCGGGGCGATGGGACGTGCCCAGGTGTGGTTCATAGAAAGGTGTGCGTGTGACAACGTGGGCATGTGCAGCAGCTGAACAGAGGGCATCCAGTTTCATGTTTATAAGTAATAAAAACAGAGCGAATGGAAATAGAACACAAGTAGAAAGAATTTCTAACATTCTTAAAAACGAGAATAAATGTCATAATGAATAAAAGTAGTGAAAACATGTATCAGTGTATAAAACGTATAAAGCACAATAAAACATAAGTCACGTCACGCCTGTGTGCAGGTACGGGGCTCTCCGGGCGGCTGCCGTGCCCACCTCCCGCCCCGACCCCCGGTCGAGGCCAGGTGAGCGGCGGCGCGGCCCGCAAGGAGTTACGGAAGGGGAGGAAAAATGACTTCATGCCTTTGCCTGGCCCGGCTCGCCTCCCCCTCCGGCCCCGTTTCACAATCCCATTGCTCTCGGACGGGCCGAGTGAGCGCTGTGTCAAACCCAGCGCAAGCACAGGGCACACACCCCCGTGTTCTCACGCCGGATTTTCCCGGACCATGAATAATCTCGAAGCCCCCTCGATAAATACACGTTCAGGGATGCCCGGAGCTCATTCGATCCGCCAGCCTCCCCGACGAGCAGAGAAGCCGCACCATGAACTTCACCGAGAGCTGCGAGGCGACGGGACGGCGGCCGGGGAGCGCCGGGAGCCGCAGCCGGAGTGCGCCCCGTCCCGGCCCCGCCGCGCTGCTGCTGCTGCTGCTGCCGCTGCTGCTGCCGCCCGCCGCCGCCGCCCCGCTGCCCGCCGCCGCCGACTCGTCCGGGGAGGCCGGGCTGGAGGAGGAGGCGGGGGCGCGACGGGCGCTCCCCGACTGCGAGTCGCTGGCCTGGCTGCTGCACAGCCGCGCCGCCCGGCTGCAGGACGAGGTGGGTACGGGGCCGCGGCGGGGGACCCGCGGGCTGTCCCGGGGCTCGGACGCGACGGCAGCTCTCGGTGTCTCTCCGCAGATGTGCGAGAAGTTCTCCGTCTGCGAGAACAGCATGGAGATGCTCGTCCGGAACAACCTCAACCTGCCCAAGGTGACGGAGGAGGACGGCTGCCTGCTCGCCGGCTTCGACGAGGCAAGGAACCGCTCCGCTCCTTCCATTGGGCAGCCTTCGGCCCACCCAACCCGAGCGCCGCTGAATTCAGCGCGACGTGCCGGGAACCCCGAACTGCTGCTGATGTTCTCACTTTTCTCTCCGCAGGAGAAATGTCTGAGGAAGCTCTCCAGCGGCCTGTTCGCCTTTCAGACCTACCTGGAATTCATTCAAGAAACTTTTGCTAGCGAAAAGCAGAATGTCGAATCGCTGTGCTACGGCACAAAGCACCTGGCGACCACGATCCGGCAGATGGTGAGTCGGTGTGCAGGGCGCTGCCACGGCCGCTGGGACGTGCAGTGATGTGCAGTCAAGAATAGGTGCTGCCCGAGGCTGAGCATTTCCCGCTGTTACTTGTCCCGTCAGCAGCAGGTGCTGGCTGCCTATGCTGCTTTCCCTTATGACTAATTTTCAAGTTTTACAAGCTCGTGTTCTGTACTCTTCTTCCAACTTTCTGTTTCCATTCCTTCCTTCCAGACAACAATCAAACTCATCAGACACCTTTAAAAACAACGTTCTCAGGCACTCTTCTCAGAGCTGCAGTTTGGTCCCAGCCTCAGTGCTGGGACCACTGTGAAGTACAGTAACTTTGAAACCTCACAGCAATAACTGCAGATAAAAACAGCTGATTTTCTTTCAGTTTGGTGAATGGAACGATAACCACTTCTGACTGCTGTTTTCTGTGTTTTGGAGTGCTTTAAAAGATCACACTTCAAAACTGGCTTCATTCCTGCAGCACTTACTCATACCCATAACCCTTCCCTTCCTATAACCCTTCCTACTTTGTCAGCAGTGAAACTATGGGTGAGTGAGGGCTACCCAGGTGAGGGGGAACTAAGAACTGCAGAGCTCTCTGGCTGTGATTCCCCGCCAGGTGTTTTCAGCACCTGAGAAGGGCATTGTGTGCTTTTTCTATCACGCTTTTTTATGTTCCTCATTCTTTAAGTGAAAGGGAGCTGGACTGCTTTTTTCACACTGTATTTGCTAAGAATAATAGTCCTGGCTTAAGGCAGCTACCGGCTTCAAACTTGATATATTGTTTGTATAAAGTTTGTTCAAGGGCTGGGTGAGACTGGCCTTCTGTGGAATGAGGGCTGAGGCAGTCAGAGCAGGTGGCACAAAACAGAGCGGGCACTCGGAGCTCTGTGCTTGTAGGGACTGTTGAGATTTTGAGAAAATCAGCTTTGGCTTGCAGGGTGGAAACGTCTTTATGAAAGCAGTCCATGTAAGGCTGTTTGAGATGGGAATGGGGCAGGTGGAGACAATCTGCTACTTGTGCTCCAGTCCATCCATTAGCAAACTCCCTGTTTGGATACCTAACCCACTTGTGAGTGAGGATGGAGCAGCCAGTATGGTTTAGGCTGAGCCACATCCCATGTCCCCAGCCAGCACACGGGAGCAGACACTGTGGGCACTTTGGGCTGGGCCGACACAACAAGCGTTAGTCGGAATTCTGGAAAAGCAGGGATAGGTGTACCTCAAAACCTACCGCAGAGGTGGGGCTGTCGGCAGCTGTACGGAGAGGAGGGGGACGAAGCTGGGTGGAACACAGCTTCCCTACAGTCTGACTCAACATTCTGTTTCCCACAGGTGATAAATCCCGATGAAGTGGTCATCCCAGACTCAGCCACCCAGAAATCCCTCCTCGCCAAGCTGAAGTCAGATAAGGCTTGGATAGAGAAAATCACCACGCACCTCATCCTCCGAGACTTTACTTCGTTTATGGAGAAGACCGTGAGGGCCGTGCGCTATTTGAAAAACACCAGGAGTTTCAGTGCCTGAATGTTTTAGTTCGGGCACAGTCCTCTGTTACAGATCTGTCACGTGGCAGATGGCAGTGTTGTTCCGTTTCAGGAACCAGGTAGTAACAATGGTTTGCATTTATAGACATTCTCATTTCCTTCTAGGAACCTATTTATTGTATTTAAAATATTTATTCTTTTCTAATGTTTTCTATTTATATGAAATATTTTCAATATTTAGAAATAACTTAAGCAAAACACCTGTTTCATTCTTATGGTACTATTCAGAATATCAACTTATTTATTACGTATTCAATGCCAAGGAAAATGTCCAGAAGCCAGACTGTTGTATAACTTATGCTTTTAAAATATTTGAGAGATTGTATTTTTTATCTATTTATATTTTTTAAACAAATAAAAGCTCACTGGAAAAAAAAAAAAACCCTGTCTGTCTGACCTGTTTGAATTTTAAATAAGACTGAAGAGCTCCACTGTATCCAGCGTTTGATGCCCGGAATTATCAAAATAACCCTTTTATATAAAGTAAAATTAAACCAGCTATCTATGAAGGCTGCTCCAAAAGTAATGCCTCCTATTTCATTATGTCAGTCCACTACGTCAAAAGTGGATGTTGGTGGTATGGCAGCAGAGGTTGAACCTTCCCATCAATATCCCATTACATGTTGTTGTGTGACAGATGGCAGCAGAGGGAACAGCCTGACAGAATGGCATCTGTCATGGAAGTGAGGAGGAAGCAGAGGCGTGCCATTGAATCCCTCCATGCAGAAAGAATGGCACCTACTGATATTCATCAACACTTGCTGAATGTTTGTGGAGTGAAAAGTGGATGTGGGCACAGTGAGGCAGTGCGTGGTGTGTTTCAGCAATGGCAACAGCAATGTGAAAGACAAGCCATGTTTCAGACAGCCAATGCACAGCTTTCACTCTACAAAATGAAGAAAGTCTTGATCAGCTCATCCACATGCATTGGCTAATGGTGTGGCTATACTGAAATATAATGTTTTGTAACTGAGAATTCGCTCTACAAAATAGTGTTGTTGTGCTCTTTGTTGTAGTTTCCATGGAAATATATGGAAGACATAACACTTTCAGAGTGACCTACACAGGGCATCTATACATACATACACAGACAGCACAATCAACATACAGTTCTTAAAATTGTATGTAACATACACAGATGTACTGTACATGAGTATGTACTTCACTGCATGCACAGCAGTACAAGCATGAATAAAGCATCACTGCTCTCGAAAAACGAATGAATGAGTTCTTTATATTTAATATAGAACACTCCATGAACCTGTAAATGAATTTAAGTAAATGCTTAAAAGTCAAGCAATCTAATTAAAACAAACAATATGGTCAGATACCAAATTAACAAGTTTGATTTTATCATATGATGAGACACTGCTGTCTTCTAAGGGAATTCTCCAAATTGGATTAAACATCTGAGACAGAAGAGATTTAGGTGAGATCTTAGGAGGAAGTTTTTCACCCAGATGGTGGTGACACACTGGAACAGGTTGCCCGAGGAGGTTGTGGATGCCCCATCCCTGGAGGCATTCAAGGCCAGGCTGAATGTGGCTCTGGGCAGCCTGGTCTGGTGGTTGGCGACCCTGCATGCAGCAAGGGGATTGAAACTAGATGATTCTGTGTTCTTCTCCCTTTCTCCTAAGAAGTGAAAAAAAATCTTAGGTTCTTTCCCCAGGTGGGAGGAATTGACGTATTGTTGCAGCAATGTCAGTGACTCTTGGGATCTAATTCATCTGTCACAGAGCATGAATGCAAGTCACTGAGCAATGCAGAGGTAAAAATAGGTCCTTAGATTGAGTACCAAACCACTGAAATATTCCTTAGCTCTATCACCTCCTTTGTTGTGGCTGTGAACATGCTCATATACCCAAACTTAGAGGAATTTCAGCTCATAGCACACACAAAGGATGGGCTCCGTTGAGCCTTGTTCTTTCAGCGTGAACAGCAGAACATTAATTACTCTCTCTGGAGCAGCACAATGAAGAGATGAAAGGTATGCTCTGGAATGTGGATAAGGATGTCAGTAAACTCTTCTCTTCCTCTGAGCGATCTTCTGATCGTCCACACAGACATTCCACTGCTGGGGATGCCAAAACAGTGAGCAGTCAGCTCACAGCCTGCATCTCAGAGGCTCAAAACAAAGCAAAGTGCAATTGCTTTGCCCAATATGGTAAAACCATAGGCTCAAATTGTGCAACGCCACAGGAAAGAATGAAGAGACCTCAAAGTGGTCATTTTCAAGAAGTCTGTGGTGAGTGAGATTTTCTTGCAAGACAGAAGATAGAGCTTTAGTTGTCCTGCATGTGGTCTAAGAGACATAAAATCATAGAACCAAAATACAAAGTCTGCTTGGTTTTTTCACAGCTTACCTTGGCAGAGATTTTCTTAGTGACTACTTGGTGAGAGAGCATTCTGGCACCTACCTTGTCTGTGACAGCTATGGGAAAGCTATGAGAATGACTAAATCATTTTGCTCTTTGTGAGTAATATGCAACAATCTATCTTAAAGCTACTGGGCTGCAGGCTTGCATGCACGTGACTTGGAGAAGGAAATAAGGTATTTGAATCTGTTCTGGTCTTGATGAAATTCTAGAGTATCTTCAGTATGAATTCAGTAAGTGTCTTTAAAAATATAAAGTTCTCTGACTGAGGTAATGTATTACCACCAAGGATCTCAATCTTGCTCCCTCTTAGCTACAGATAAGGGCTTGGATAGCAGCTATGAAAAGCACAGTCTATTCACAAGTACAGTATGAATCACACTGCCTCTGATTCACACAGGAGACCTCAGTGGGGATCCCGAGTTGGACCCTTTAAGCACTGTATTACTGTGACAGTAGCAGGGAACAAAACAAACAAAAAACCAGAAACATTTTGTCTCACCTCTACCAGCAGAGGTGATCGATTGCCTAAGATCATTCTTAGTTACTGTGTACACTTCAGCTAAACAAACTCACTCTTTGGATTGAACTCCTTGAATTGCGGGACGCATCTGAACTGCAGAGCAGTGAAATTTCACACAACAGATTGAGGAATACCCACATTTCCCAGAGCCACCCTTCAGCTGGTGGCTGCCTAAGCAGTCCAGCATTCCAGTAAAGGTGTAAATGTTACTACATTTTGGGATGTAAGAGACAGCAAAGATCGCTGCTTACTGGATGGGAAGGTCAACCTCAAGTTTTTCCTGGTGGGAAGAGGATCACTGATGCTGCTGATGCAGCTGCTGAGTTGCCACCATTTCATCTGCAGTTCCTCCACAGACACCTCCATAGAACCATGGAATCATGTAGGTTGGAAATGACCCTTAATTCAGCCATGAACCTGAACTACCAAGTCCCACCACTAACCATGTCCTTCAGTGCTACATCCACACATCTCTTAAACACCTCCAGGGATGGGGACATAACCATTTCCCTGGTCAGCCTGTTCCAATGCCTGATCAATGTCTTCATGAAAAGATCCTTCCTAATGTCCAATTTAAGCCTGCTCTTAAGCAGAAAGTACAACAGATTCTTGAAAGAGTCTGTCTCCATTTCTCATACCTTTGCTGACATTAATAAAGGCTGATGACTGCGAGGTTAGCAAGACAGAGCTGGTGCTACAGAGGTGGAGAAGCTACAATACCAACAGATCTGATGAGTAGTGAGCCACCAGATGAGCTCAGCAAACTTGTGAAACTTCCCTTGACTTTTGCACTGTTACTTGCATCTAATAATTTTTCAGCATTCAGCTCACGTGATGAAATGGCAGAAAGGTGAATATACAACAGTACATATCAAAGTCAGATCCTAAAGTTCCAGAACTGCTGCTGAATATATATACTATTACAAACCTTGGGTATTTGATAGGAAACTTTCTTTAAACCTTTGCTTTTCAAGTTGAATGATTAAACAGAATTTCACTGAGAGATCTGAAATTGTTTTCTTCTTCCCGATAAGAGGAAAAATAAAACAAACACTCTCACACAGAAAATATGATCTCTGTAGACTCCAACACCAAAATACAATTTCCTCCCCAAAGTTTTCACCAAATAAACTAATTCCTACACTTTCAACACATTTACCCAAACCTCAGTACACTTTCAAGGCTGACTTTGGGGGCTATAAAACAACACAGTAGAGCAATATTAACAGATATCATTCTAAACGCTGCATGATATAAATAGGGCCAGAATGATGAACACACAAAATTATATCAACAGTTTTATTACCTGAGAGAATCCCTGCTGCTGTGCACACACACACAAAAGTAAAATCACGTATGGAGAGTTCCAAGTCCATTCCTCAGCTTAGACGAACTGCCTGCTACGGCACCACTGGCACACAGCAACCGTCCTTGCCTCTTCTTACACTTTCATTAATAACTCTGGTAGAGATGTAGAGGAAAAAGGGACCACTCCTTGATCAAACCCGTGGATCCCACATTACCATGTGTTAACAAACATGATGAAGTTCGAAGATGTTCCTCAAGTTCCAAGTGCCATACCCCTCCTGCTCACATGGCTCAGTGGCCTGGCACTGGGCTATAAGAAAACAGAATTTGTAAGAAGGGAGACTGTTTAGGATGAAGGCAGACGTACAGAGGATCTTCCAGTCTTGCTGAGAAAGACCTGTTTTCCAGTTACTGTGCCATGAATTGCACCATTTGGGAAGCTTCTATGAGAATAAAGTGGATCCAGAGAAATCACGTGGCAATGTAATTGCAAATCCATGTTTACCTAATTTCCCAGGTCAGTAACTGCTCACTGCTTTGCACTTGCTTTATCTAATTTTTGATGAAAACTTGATTTCTTAATTGCAAGAAAATATGAGTAAATCCTCTTTTTCACTTAGCAGACTTGCATCTCCTCTGCCTTACCCATTCCCTAATCCTGAATTAATATAAACATAATCAAGAAACAATGCATGTAAGCCACAAAGAGTTACTGCACCACATACCATCATGGAAAACTATTTAGAAATTGCAATTAAATAGTCTGTTTTAAAAAGTAAATTAGTCATACGACATTAAACCAGGATGTGGTTTTTACTCCTGCGGCGAGAACAGATGTAATGAGCTTTTATTTCCAAAAGTCATCGTTGGTATCATCATAGCTTAAATTCCAACTCCATAATGAGGTGTTTCCAAAAATACCCAGATTGTTTTAGCAAATTTTCCTGTTAAAAATGTGTTAGATCCCTGTTTCATTAACATGATGCAATAAAAGCATGGAAAGCACTGTCATCTACAGCCATCTTGCTGCACAGACAAGAAGCAATGGTTTTAGATATAGCCAACATGTGGGCCTGTTGTTACAAAATTATGAAAGTTGCTTTGGTTTGCAGTGTTTACATGTTTGAAAACCATATGATAAAAACTTTGAGTTTTACTGATGACTTAATTAGGAGACCAAAATTACCACACATCAAGACCAGAACAGCCCCCAAACTAACAAACTCCCCAAGCACAACACACCAAGCAGCTCAGAACTCCGCTGCTCCTTGTCTGATGTGCATATGTCTTTTTTTTTTTCATCTCACGTATTTCACTTCCACTTCCATTTCACTTCCACTTCCAAAAATCTTGTCAGCATTTCCTTCTTTTATCATCTTCTGATCAATCTTTGTCTTAGAATCATAGAACCATAGAATCATAAAATCACAAGGTTGGAAACGACCTGCAAAATCATCTAAGTCCAACCATCCTCCCATCACCACTGCTACCACAAGCACTAAACCATACCTCGCAGCTCCTCATCCAGATGCCTCTTGAACGCTGCCAGGAACGGTGACTCTTCTTTTTTTCTCCCAGAACCTAAGATTTTTTTCTTGTTTTTCTTTTAGTTCCTTTAACTGCAGCCTAATGTCTCAATCCCCATTCATTCTGTTAGTGTGACAGAGAACGAGATATACAGAAGACAGGACACCACAGCACTCCCTGCCCACCATGCCTTCCCAATACCCCACTAGTGCTTCACATGCAGCCTGGCTACCAGAGGAGAAACAGTTCTTCATCCCTGGCTTCTTCTTAGCTGCTCTCCTCAGACACCAATCTGAGGTGACACCATTACCTTGTGTCACCCTTACAGAAAGAGGCAACAGGAGCACCTTCTGGCATGGAGAAATGTTCCCTTCCTCATGTGTGAGGAGATGAGGTACAGCACATTCTTCTAACATTAATATCCCCATACTGCCTTCATATTTGGTAAGCAGCACAGTGAGCTACAGCAACTTTTGATCTTCCTACAACTGGCCCAGGCAAAAATGTTCCCAAGCATAAACGTGAGTTCAGCTGTGGAATTCAGAGTATGCTTCTCAGTAACCTACCATCATTGACTTCATTCCAAATCACAGCTCACAGTGGTCTCAAAGGAGTGCGCCATAAGCCTCATTACTGAAAAGAATCTCTGCTTGGCTACAGAAGCCACTGATTCACTCGACAGAGATTTACTGATCAACAGAGCGAAGCGGGAATTTGAACAGTGAAAGGTTCTGTGCTAATGACTTTCCAGAACCATATCTGGTTTTTTAAAAGAACAATAACTGCATCCAGTTAGCAATAGAGAATGACAAAAGTTTGCCATCTGATGTACTTAAAGTGAAATTCTGAACGTAAGGATTGCAGTATTTATCCAATAATTCCAGATCTTAAAATAAGCTGAACTGCAACTACTTATACAGGAAATTTTCAGCAGTGAATCCAGTCTGTGCTCAATATATCCATGCTTACGTGTACACTTTTCTTAAAAGAGACAAGAACAGTTCCCAATTCTCTGCCTATTGCCAAATACTACAATTCTTGGCAAGCACAGAGCAACCATGTGGTGGTTAAGACCCACAAACCACATCCGCAAATGTCTGACACTGGATAGAACATGAGAAATACACTTTTGCAGGTGTTTTGGTACATACACAGTTGCATTTTGAGTAGCCTTGTGGAATGCCAAAGTTGATTTTGAGATATCCATGTTATTTTGCACTGAACAGCTTCTCTCTTAATATTGAATATCTAAGGTTATGCCAACAGATTCAGTAAAAGGAAATCATTCCTGATCATGATCAAAGCCACCATCAGATTATTTCATCCTCATTGTAACAGGCTCAGTGAAGAAAAAGGGCTCTGAATTTCAAGGCCTTCCATAATTAAAGACATACTTGCAGTTAAATTATTCTCAAGTTACCATTAGAAAAGCTGCAATATCAACAGGAAACAGGATCACAAAAGTGTTCTGCATTCAGAACTTGCTCTTTGCCCATCAGCAATCGGTCATCATCTGCTATTCCACCATTCTGTGACATTTAATTATCATGATCAATTGGACTTTAAGGAACATGCTGGTTTATGTTACCTGAGCTTCCCCATCTCTTACTTTTTTTTTTCCTTTTAATTCTTGTCTTTTAATTTATTTCTTCTCTTGGCTCATTTCTCATTTTTTCTCCATTTCTCCTAAGCATTTTACCATGACTTCCAATAGCAGATGAGAAACTGAGGCATCTCCTAACTCACCACTCAGTGTACAAACAGTCAGAAAATCTGGGTTAAGCTGATCAAGAATATCTTTTTTCAGCATTAACTGGGAGCAAACAAGATTTTATTTTCTTAAATATTCCTGCAAAAATACAACCTAGCTTGTGCAGCTGTAAAGTGGAAAGAAGGTAACCTAACCAATTCAGCTTCTATTTGATAGAAAAGAAACAGTTGTCACTGCAGTGCTTGAATTTCATTGCTAAAAGGGAGAATGTTAAGTGAAGCCAAAACTGTATTCCAAAGAGCAAGACTGGAATAAAGCATATATCTTGTTCAATATAATTTTCTTCCTTCAGTTGTACATTAATAAACTTCCACTATAGACACACATACATATACACACAGTGATTTTGTCACACACTCCTACCATAAATCCCCAAACTATGGAAAATTTCAATGGCATTTGAAGGTAAATTCAGTAGAAAAGTATACACCTTACTGCTTTTTTCATTATCTGAATATCCTAGGAAAAGAACATATCTCAATTCAAAAATATCCAGAGGTGAACAAATTTAGAAAAAAAACGCCGGCTCTACACTGAGCAACCAGCAGCATAGGCTTACTTGCATTCAGCAGAAAACTTTCAAGAACATCAAAATGTTTAAAACATCAACACCAAGCTGAGTGGTACAGTTGACACACTAGAGACCTGGACAGACCTGAGAGGTGGGCCCACACCAACCTCATGAAGTTTCAACAAGGACAACTGCATGGTCCTGCATCTGAGTCAGGGCAATCCCAAGCACAGATACAGGGTTGGTGGAGAATGGCTTGAGAGCAGCCCTGAGGAGAAGGATTTGGAGTTGTCAGTTTATGAAAGACTAAACATGAGCATCAATGTGTGCTTGCAGCCCAGAAGGCCAACCTTATCCTGGGTTGCATCAAGAGAAACGTGACCAGCCAAGGGAGGTGATTCTGCCCCTCTATTCTGCTCTCTGAGACCCCACCTGGAGTACTGCGTCCAGTTCTGGGGCCCCCAGTACAAGAAAGACATGGAGCTGTTGGGACAGGTCCAGAGGAGGGCCACAAAGATGACCAGAGGGCTGGAGCACCTCCTCTACAAGGACAAGAGGAGAGGGATGACAGTCTTCAGCCTGGAGAAGGCTCCAAGGTGACCTTATAGCAGCCTTCCAGGACCTGAAGGAGGCCTATAGGAAAGCTGGGGAGGGACTTTTTATAAGGCATGTAGTGAGAGGACAAGCAGAAATGGTTTTAAACTGGAAGATAGTAGATTCAGACTAGATTTCAGGGAGAAATTCTTTACTGTGAGGGTGGTTAGAACAGGCTGCCCAGTTGGGCTGTGAATATCTCTTGCCTAGAGGCATCCAAGGTCAGACCAGATGGGGTTGTGAGCAATCTGGTCTAGAGGAAGGTGTCCCTGCCTGTAGCAGGGGGGTCAGAACTAGATGATCTTGAAGGTCCCTTCTAACCCAAAGCATTCTATGATTCTGATTCTGGTTATTATGAAGAAAAATCTCTACCTGACATTCATACTTGCCATGTTGATCCAAGAGGGTTGAATGTCACCAAATTTACCAAAATCAGTGGTTACTTATATTTATGGTTATATATCATTATATTTATATTTAAATGGTTAAATATATTTACGGTTAAAGGAACTGTCATTTTATGTAATAAAGACTTGAAAACAACGCATATCCATTTCAAACTAGATTTAATTACACCACAATCCAAATAAGTTACGTCCATATAAACTCCATTTTGTTGTATGTACAGCCTATGTCATTAGCAAGCTGACAGAGTCAGCTGGTGAAAGCATTCGCCTCATCTTCTGGAAGGTACGAATCTTCAAATACTTTTTTCTCTGTCCATCAGCTGGTTCTAGAGCAGGACAGCCACGTCCTTCATCCCCAAAGCAGACTGAAAGGGGAGGGGGGAGGAAATTAAAGTCAGATTTGCAGTACGTTTTTGTTTTTAAATAAGTTTCTCTAAAAAGCAGGTCAGAACAAACAGCCCTATAAAAATACAGAATGCTACAAAAAAAAAAAAAACAGCCAGAAAACATTGCAACAAAGCTACCTGCCCAGAAAAAGGAGAACCTGTAAGCCTCAGACTAGACCCAAATACATTTCTGATACCTGGTATCAAATGCATACTTTATGCTCTGCAAACACACTCAAAACAAAAAAGCCTCAAGCTGCTAGTGAAACTGAACGCAGGAATACTCCCAGCAAACAAACAACTTGAGCAAATGGCACCATAAAACAAAAGATTTTACTGAAACTGTAACGTGACCTTGACATTTTTCTCATTCTTTCTACTGTTAGAAGTAGTTCCTTTATATGGTGTGAGACAAAAATAATTAATACATAACTTTGCAAACAATGCAAGTCCATCAATTATTTGTCTTAGCAGTACCTGGCTCTGTGCTGTTGTCAAATTTCAAGATCATTAAAAGAGCCACATTTCCTTCAAAATCTTAATTTTAAAGGTCTGACCCATGGAAACACTTCAACGGAATTCAAACACCACAGGAATTCAAGTATTACTAATGCCAGGACATTGCAGCAGTGACAAGTTGTCCCATAACAAAGAGGTAATATGAGCAAATGCATTTTGGTTCACTGCAATGAGAAATACTGAAGGATATATCTCTGTATTTAATGCAGTTTTTAAGCAGCTTTACTATCATATTTACAAAGAGGGTAGGAGAATGATTTTGGTTAAAATTCCTGTTAGAAATCTAAGTAATTATTTCTAGGTGCAGAAAGAAACTTGCATAAATCACCTCTAAAACAGATTACAAGGGCAGCTGCCACTCAGAAAGGCACAGGAAGTCCCATATATTAAAAGAAAACGAGCAAGAACAAAACACTAAGGCTCTTACAAGAACTTGTGTTTTGCTGTTTTTTCTAGTTTTGATTTTAAAAGAAAAAATAACCTGACCAGTTATACTATTGCCCAAAACCAACTAAAAATAGTAGATGAAACAGGTCTTGCTGTTCAGTGTTAACAACCAGAGGTAACACCTAAAACTGTGACTCTGAGAGCTCTGCTTTTGCATGTACATTTGGACACAACACGTACCTCCAGATTGTTGGCTCGGGCATTCCTGGATCTGCACCCCTCCTAAAACCTGAACAGAAATAAATATTAGACAAACACATGTATGTGTAGACTCCTACACAGCTTACACAGTATCAGATTATTCCAGTTCATTAAACTGAAATACAAAAGGAGAAGAGAACTGTGATTCATGAAGTTGTAGACTCACCTCAACGGAAACGTAACATTAATCAGGGTTAGAAAGCAGGCAAAATAAATACAAGTGTACATTTTTAATTTCTTTGGGGTTTTTTTTTTTTTTTTTTTTACTCTTATCTATATCTCTATCTGAATTAAAATTCAGGAACTGAATTTGAAGCTGTGAAAGATGATGGAAATTATTTACCCTGAAGATCACAGCACGCATGCATGCATACATACATACATGTAACTATCAAAGAGGTTTTAAATGTTGTTGAGAATGGAACTGAATGAACAGCACCAGCAGTGACACCTGTAACCAGTATAAACAACCACTGTGAGCCTTAACAGGCAATGTTCTGTAACAAACTTAGAGTAGTATTTCAATAACTGTTTATTTAATTTAAGGTGAAAGAATTCTAAATGTTCAATTGACTAAACTTAGAACGTTTTGTTCTTACTGCCTCGCGGGGCAAGTTAATTATAATGAGTTCATCTCCAGCTAATGACTTAACTACTGATTCGCTAAGGCAAGCGAATGCTAGATAAGCAAGCCAAGGTTCAGTTTATCAAACAGCTTTCTTGCTGGACTGTAAATTAAGCCTTGAAGCACAATTATACATGACATACACTGTTCAACATGCTTTCCTACAACTGCTTGATAGAAATGGATGCTATATGGAAAATATATTATTCCTCTCCCTTGCAGACTAGAAGTAATGACAGCCCACCTAAAACACAGGCCAGAAAGGTTAATGGAAAAGCTTCCATTAATGTGGCAGGCACTAGGCTACCTCTTTAAAGATAACCTTGTCAGACTTGGACTATTGAATATTCTGGTTCATTGCCTCATGTGGCCACACTTTCCAATAAAATTGCTTTAAAATACATGAAGTTATATTAGCAGTCATACTACATGTGTGTGTGACACAGATTTAGGAAACAGTATGGGGAACAAGGGCCAGAAATATTACATAAGTAACCCAGTTTCACAGAACTGTAGTGACCTAATTTCCGTACTTAACACAGAAGCAGTCATGTCAAAGTAAGCATAAAAACACCTACCAACGAGCTGCAATTGCACAGAATACAGCCCCTCATACATGTCCTGAATATCCCACCCCAACCTAGCTCTTTCACTGAAACACTCCATTGGTCAAAGTGCATTTCATACATATGGGCCAATACAAACTGGGATCAGCAGCACCAAGCACCACAGAGCCCCTGTAACTGTAATACAGGGTTCCGTTCCACAAACTTCTGAGTCTGTGCCACCTCCGGGGGTCAGGCAAGGGTGGCAGCTGTATCGGTGTCCCTTCATCGACCACAGCAGGAAAGCTGCTCAGGCAGCAATGCGGGCTGCTGGGGGAGCAGCACATTTATCTGTCAGAGGTGTAAAATGAAGCTCCTATAACCCAGTTCCTTACAGTTAGACGACAGAAGTACACAGGCACCCCGGCAGCAGTACAACTGCCCACACAGCGCACCGGCAGGACGTAACCCCTGTGCTACATAAGTGCCCACACAGCAGCTCTCAGGCTGCCCAGGGAGGCTGTGGATGCCCCGTCCGTGCCTGGAGGTGTTCAAGCCCAGACTGGATGGGGCCCTGGGCAGCCTGGCCTAGTACTGAATGCGGGGTTGGTGGCCCTGCCTGTGGCAGGGGGGTTGGAGATCCATGATCCACGAGGTCCCTTCCAACCCAGGCCTTCTGTGATCCGTCCCTAAAGGCGGACGCCTCACAAACCCCCGCCGGACCGAAGCAGGTCGTGAAACGCTGCGGGAATCCCCGCCCCAAAACTATCAATTTTAAAATAATCAATAAACTGAGGATGGGAACGTAATACCCTAACGCGGCAGAGCTCAAAGTGACCTCCTGCACCATTGAAAGCCCGCCGGCTATCCATCAGCCCGCCGGCTCCCCGCACCAACCCCCGAGCGCTTCTCAGCGGCGCATGCGCGGACAGCACAGCGTGGGGGAGGGCGCCCCCCCGCACCCCGCCTTCCCCGCGCCCGCTCCCCCCCGGCCGCCCCCGCCTCGTTCCCCAACCCGGGTCCGGGGCCGGCCCGCCGCCACCCGCCGTCACTGACCTAGGTAGAGCACGACCGGGATGAAGCCCCAGCGGATGGCGAACTGACCGCCCTTGAAGAGCTGCTGCAGCCGCTGCTTGGCCTCCTTGCTGAGCTTCGGCATGCCGGCGGCGGGGGGAGAGAGCAGCGGCCCGCCCGCGGACGTCACTCGGCGGCGGTGGGCGGCGCTCCGGAGGCGCTTCCGGGGGCGGTGAGCCGGGGCCCGTCCGGGGGCGGAGGCCGCGGGCCGCCCTCGTTTGCCGCGAGCGGCTTTTGCGCCCCGACGTGCCGCTGCGCGCCGCTCTCTGCCGAGGCCGGACGCGGCTGCGGTAAGTGAAGGGCAGAGGTGGAGCGCCGAGAGCAGTGCTTCCGGGTGACGCCGAAATGGCGCCGGCGTTGCGCTGTCCCGGCGTGCGCCGTGTCTCACGTGGCCTCACCTCACCTGCCGCCTTTGGCTGCCGTGGCGGACGCGGCCCTGCGGCGCCGCCTGGGAGCGGCACGATCAGGGGCGGCGGGGCTCAAGCTGCTCTCGAAGCTCGGAGCGGATCTGGTTGCGTATGGAAACTGGGGGGGAAATATCTTACCGGGTAAATCACAGCTCGTGGCACTGCAGACACCCACGTAGCTCCTTACAGAATCATTAGCGTTGGAAAAGACCACCGAGATCCTCTAGTCCAACCGCCAACCCGTCCCACTGCCCGCGTCCCTCAGTGCCACGTCCGTGTGCTTCCTGAACGCCTCCAGGGCTGGTGACTCCCCACCTCCCCGGGCAGCCCATTCCAGGGCATCACCGTTCCTTATCTTTTTTCTGATCTCCAGTCTGCTTCGTTCATAATCACGGTTTACCAACCAGACACGGTTACAAAGTTGTGCATATGTTATGTGTTAGTTTGCTTAAGGCAACGGATGGCTTGCAGTTCAGCAGCTCACTTGTCAGGTTAACAAAAGGGCAGTGCTGTTAGATTAAAAAGTAATACAAACCCAGGACCATAATAAATATCACTTACATAGCTTTTTCCATATGTATTCTTCCAGTACACAGATGCATATTCTGTCCATAAGAGATACAAGTTTAGCTTGCTCCTTGCTTCCCAGATATGGACAGGTGACAACCTGCAAGCCACATGACTGATCCTGGTGGCCTGCAGCCGCCTTGCCACTCTCTACCAATAGTCAGAGTGTGGGGGATACAGGAGTGTCCTGGTGATGGGATGACAAACTGCTGCATGTCGGGGTATAGAATGCACAAACAGCTTTTGTTCATGAAATCCCGTGCATACGTGCTCACCTACGCATTAAACAGAAAGGGAGAAGTCAGTATCACATGGTAACATATCTAATGATGTCTAACAGGTAACGCTGAGGCTTAGAGTCCATGAGTGGCTTCTTTGTCAGCTGAATGGCTTATCCCTGTTGGGGTTAGGCACCATTGCTATGGTTCAGTAGGTGAACGTCAGTTTGAAGGGACTATGAGTCTCCATGTTCTCAAGAAGAGCATGCCTTCATACATTCCCAGGCACTAGGAACCAACAAAACGTTCTCTAAATAATGCCAGCCATAGAACTTGTTGTGTCAGTTGACTTTGTTAGTTATGCTTGATGAAGATTGCCAACAACCAACTCTTTCTGCAGCAGGTGAGCTGCTGCTAGGGTAGGTAGAAAAGTAGGAAAATACTGGTAATTAATACTTCATTGCACTTCAAAAAGACAAATTATTCTCAATATAACGTAGCAGTCAGAGCTTTATCCAGTTGTTAAGCAAACATGATTTTGTTATTGTTAGCAGATTAATGAAGCGCTTTCAGTAACAAATCCAGAATTCATGGTGATGATTTTTCTGTGGCAGTCTTAGGCAACTAATAATACAGACACTTCAGCCATAGAAGACAGAACTGCTTCTGAAATGCTCTGTCAGTTGTTTTTTCTAGCTAATATTAAAGGTTATTTTGTACTTATCAAGGTGATCACACATTCCTGCTTTGTCACATCTAGCTTGGTACTTCTGCATCAGCATGTTGCTGTATTTCCATTCCTTAAATTGAGCACTTTATGCCTATTGTTACTTTTTTAAAAAAAAACAACAAAACTTTTATTAAAGCTGGAAATTTGAAGTCAGTAATGGCTTCTGTATAATCAATGAAAACTATATAAAGGAATATTATATAATCAAATAATATTAAGATGTTATAATAATGAATAAGCAAGAGAGTTAGGCACAGCAAGATAAAGAAAATAAATAGGAGGCTTACCCGTGTTGTGGGCTCACTCAGGAAAGACCAGCGGAGTGGATCTTCTGAAGAGAGAGAGATCCTTCCCCACTGGTAGTCAGCTCTTAAATGGGTCTAGGAGAGGTGCAGCCAGGCTCCACCCCTTCCTGCAGCACAGGTGAATTGCTTTCACCTGTGCTCCCAGGGCTGACTCATTGCTCACCTCAGGTGATCAATCAGAGGTTCAGGCCGTGACTCAGCAGTTCCCATACACCTTCTCATGTTCAGCTTAGAAGTGGCATCTTCCCTCCCAAGAACAGCTTTTATAAAATACTCTTTAAAGATCATGAATCATGTCATACCATCCCATGTGTCAATTCCTTTGTGACTGCCATACCCATTGCACTAACAAATTTAGATCTTTCCCCTTCTTGCCTCTGAGGAGATGTTTTCTTTAATTTTAGGTAATTGTAGTGTAAGTAGGATTCATAGGTCAAACGTACTAAATAATTGATCCAAATTATTTAACAGCTCTGACTTCTTTAGATATAAACCTGTTTAACTGTCACTAGTTACATCAGTATGGATATTCATGAGAAAGGGTATTCCTAAAAATGTGCCATCTGTGCTCCTTCTTCCATCCTTTCCTTCACATTTCAAGTCAAGGAATTATTTTCAGAGAAGAGAAACTTTCCTTGATAGCTCTCATTTCTGCAGTGTGTTATGACTGGTCTTCACATTTTACTTTATTATGATAATTAAGCTGTCTATTGTGCCCTTGTAAGGATGGTCCTTTTCTTCCATTCCATTTTAATATTCATTTAATACATCCCAGCTACTCTGCAGTATCACTGGTCTGGGAAATGCACATTTTCCGTTTGCAGGGACCACATTTCACAGAGATAAATAGAAATGGAAAGCTCCACTGCAGCCAAAAAAGACTAAGGCTATGTGATTGTGCTGCTTGGGAAATGCCAGAATTCTGCGACATCTCGTTTTCTCTTGATAGTTGTAAAAGCAGTGTTACTTGGGGTTAAATACGTTCGGGTTTCTTAATTTAGCATATTTTCAAAACATTTGAAATACAGAGCAGAGATGCATGTAGATTTTTTTCTGTCTGGATTACTGTCTCTTACATATGGCTTTCTGTGTGATACTCCATTGGCTGTACTCTGGCCACTGTGCACTGCCTTGCACAAATTAAAGGGCTGGCAATAATCAACCACATGAAGTTTAACAAGAGCAAATGCTGCATTCTGTACCTGGGCTGGGGCAATCCTGGCTGTACACGCAGACTGGGGAACAATAGGCCTGAGATTTAATATGGAATTGAGAGCAAACACAACAATGACATTATTTTTCATTCCAGCTCCTGAAGCCAGTGAAGGAGAAACAGCAGTCTGAGATGAAACAACACTCAACAAAACCTCATCAAATGCTTTCAGAGATCTCTGAAAAAAAGTACTGTTGTGCTTAAAAATTGAATATTATCTGCTACTCAACTTTATTTTCATTTGGAACCTGACTGTCCCATTCTCCCCATTTTCATTTAAGAATGAAAATGACATGTTGCATTCAAGATACTGCTACCTTTCTATAAGTGGTTACTCTAAAAATATAACAATTCTTTCATGCACATTGCTATGATTGCGGTATTTGGCCAGGGATGAAAACAATCATCTGATTACTTGCATACTTACAGTGATATGCAGAAGTCTGATGGATTAAAGGATTTTCTGAGGCCAAAACTAATATCCGTATTCTCTCATTCTTTGTTTTTAAATTAACTTTTGGGTTTTTGTTTTGTTTTGTTTTAAAGCATCTGAGGAGAGAAACTGTCAATGGCTTTAGAAAGATTTTCCTCAAAAAACATTTGAATGCATACTTTCTAACTGTCAACCAATCTCATCTAGAGATAAAATCTGAAAAGATTTTATAGGATTTAAAAGGTCTGCCTATTTTAGGCAGATTCTTACTATGATTGAAACAAATGAGGAAAAGAATGACAATATTCCCATTTCTACAACAATCTTACTGTATTTGTTTATACCAATTCCAACCTTAGTACATTGAATTAAGGTTAGGCAACCTTAAAATGGAGAATGTAAGGTCTTTGTCATAGTTTACAGAAAAATGTATATGAAAGTGAGGTATTTCTCTTTGGTACAGAACATGGAAGTGGAGCATCTGAAAAATAAAAATTCTAATTAAAATTCATATGCATCTTCTTTTTAGAGTATCTTCTCTCAGCATTGACATACTGACAGCCTAAGACACTTATCTGCAATGTTCTTTTGGACTCTTTCCAGAAATGCATAGAGCACTGTCACCACCGGTGACCGGTGTTTCAGTGTGGCATTACTGTTGCTTTTCACTTGGGATTACTAAAAAGCTCCTACAGCTGATGTACAAGGGCAAAATTGAGGCATTCTGGATACTGGGGTTATTTTTTCAATCCGGTTGAGGAGGGTGATTTGTAGCAACAGTGCATATGGCACTAATTAATGAGATTTGAGTAGACTTTGGCATAGCGTCCTGCCTAAAGAAGAAGAAGAAAAGTGGTTACAACAGATTTGCTATGTGCCTTTCACTGCTTCATATGAAATATTATACGTACTCCTGAAGTTTTTATTTTGAATATGGTCATTTCTGCAATAATTTTATCAGGTGCATAGGATATTCAAGCAACTTTTGAAAATTCCTTATGTTCTGCATTATAAAGTCTGTTAGCCATACTTGGCACAGACTACAAATCTGACCCTAATTTTCAAGCATTTAAAGGCCCAAAAAGTGTTCTGTAACACTTTTTTTTTCTTACACTTATTCAAGTTTGCATTAACTATATATCCAACGAAATTGCATTTTACTCCTTCATTTTAGCCTTAAATAGCAGTCACAGGAGATTGAATGTGGTTAAGCATAATGAAGCGTGAAGATGACAAGAAAAATGAACCAGAGGTGCCTTATCTCCCAATTCATAGCAGTACAAATTTTATATTCCAGACACAAATGCCACCTTGGGATTGAAATCGTACTGTGTGAATCTGTGTAAGTATTATTTTCCAATTACCTTCCTGCTTTAAATATAGAAAAGAAAATGAGTCCTCCTGAGTTAAGAGATGTGTTAATTGCATGTGGGATTTGTGATGGAAAGTTCTCTCTAAAATAAACAGTAATAGAAGTTGGTCTTTCACATATTAGGAGGAAAACTTGCTTCTAGTGAGAGAATGCTAGACTAGACTGGCACTGGTCTCTTTTATGAGATTATTACTGGACTGACATATATAGCACAGTATATTAGAATTGTTAATTGTATCATAGCATAATATTTTTCTGTAGTTTTTCTGTTAAATCCCTTAAAAACCACGTGCAGAAAAATACTTCTAATGTGTATGTTAGTTTTGGCAACTGTCTGATCTGAATGAAATGCTGGTGGGCTTTTAAAAGCCTGAAGAACAGAAATCAGGCAATGAGCCTACATGAGCCTTTAAAAAAAAGATATTTACAAAGTATTTATCTATTATAAAAAATGAAAAAAATAGAAGTTATCTAAAGGTCTCAATTAATAAACTATGTCAGCCTCCATGAATTTAGTTCCCCTTCTTTGTTACATAAAGACAGTATTGATTCAAATGTTATTAGCAGTGATTCGTTAATACCAGTGGGGGGCAGACTTGAACTGGAAACTATTTTTCTGCTTTGATTTGTTGAAATTAAAATACAAGATAGTTCCTCGAGCTCAGAGCTGATGGCAGTCTCATCACTTCTCCATGATTCTAATTACTCTTGCACTTGCTTCTTTCCAATTGCTGTTTGACAAAATGAGTGTTTTGCTATGTCACAGAAAAGAAATAGTGAATGTTTAAATAAAGACAATAATATGAAAGTGGATGAGTCAATTTATTAGCAGCTGCGTGATGTTCCCTGGGGAGAATCCACACTGCTAAGCAATTAATCATGTATATCATAAAATGGTTTTTAAAAGTGAGTGAATATTGTTATCCCCACTTTACAGGTGAAGAAACTAAGGCATAGGGAGGTAGCCTTGCAAAGTATCTGTGTAGGTGACCTGCAGATGCAAGAACAAAATCCAAATTTCTGTGATCTAGTCCAGTGCTCAGGCACATTTTTTTTACATAAATGATGGCAGGTCAAACTGTTGCAAACACTGTGGAAATGATGCAGTTGAAATTGCTGAGGAGCTTACACTGGTGAAATAGATAGATAACCTGAGAGACAGAGCATAGCTCCTGAGAAGCATATTGTCCTCAGAAAGTTAGGTGGAGGTCAGATCAGGTGGCCAAAGGTCTGCATTAAAAATAATGTGTTTTTACTAAAACAACTACTGTGTATTTTTGTATGTGTTTGTCATTAAGTTAGATTGTACTCTCTCCAAGGAAGCAGCCTTTCTATGTAGGCCTTCAAAGCCATTCCAATCTCAGTACTAGGAAACGTGTACTTAAAATGTAGGTGAAGGATGAAGATGCTAAAAAATTGTTCCTCCTCTCCCATCATCTTAAATTATGAGCAAAATGTGAGGCTTCCTATGAACTCAACCAAGCCCACTGTATCTACTGTACCCATGGTCAATAGCATTCATGGGGTTTATGTGACTCACCATTGAATGCTATCCTTCATTAAGGCACCACGTTTAGCTAAATACAATCACTAATTTTATTTGATTAAATATATGTATTCCACTTTCTCTATATGCTCTTATGAAGACATTATTCGTTACAACAGCTTTTTAAAGCATAAAATGGCTTTTCTTTCTCTTTTTCTTTTTCTTTTTTTCTTAATCAGCCTCAGCATATAGATTGTTCTTTCCCTTTCTAGAAAGGGCTGGAGGCACACCATTACAAAGCCTCCCATTTCTAAGACTTGTGTAAGATATACCACAGAACATTTGGTGTTGCATATTAAAAACTCTGTGGAGTGAACAAGCTCTTTACACACTGCATTTTTCCCCTTTTTTTCTCTTATTGCCAGTTTGCAGTGGCAACATGCTGATGGTGTGAGTTAGTCATTAGGTTATGACTCCAAGGAAAAGGACCGTGTGAAAATTGTAAGTTAGAATGTAAGTAAGTGGACACTTACCATTCAGAATGAAATATTGCATGACCTGTTAGTGTGTTACTCAGTTCTGGTTTATTTCCAAACAAATCATGTTAAAATAGGAGTCAGAAATATCTGGCAGGGATTTGAAGTACCATGTGGCGATAACCCCAAAGCCTATTATTTTACATTCAAGGTTTCTCTGTTAGGCCTCTTTAATTCATCCCTAATTATAAATTGCTATCTGTAAGTTTCCAAAAAATTGTTTAATACGCCCAGGCCTAATGCTATCATTTGGGGCAGAATACATACCATTATGCCATATTTTCAGTGCAAAATTAAACCTTACTTCCAATAAACCATCAATGTCTTCCAGTATTTTTTAGATTTACTGCATTTCAATGTGCAGAATCTTTAGCTTGTGTGGTTAATCTTTTTTCTTAGTCTTTAAGCAGAACTGAGTCTCTTCGTTCTCAGTGCAGAAGTGCTGTACAACAGAACAAGTACATTCTGCAGGTGAAGAGAAAAGCTGTGGGTTCATGGTAAGGACAGCATCCATCTGCTCCAGATAAATATAAGCCCATCTTCCCAGCTTGTAGGTGCCTTTGTTTACCTTTTGCTCCATAACAAAACCAGAAACCCCAAATAAGCTCGTTCTGCATTCTTAAATGCAGAATGCAGTTTTTGTGGCAGATAGCTTGTAAGCTGTAAACATAAAAATCACATACAAATAAATGAGCATTGAGAAAGCAGTTATGTGACATAAAGCATATATGAAAATTAATGTTGAAAGTGCTCTGAATATGGGGAAAAATGAAAGGATAGTTCCATGGCAGTAGCTGTACCTGTTCAATACACTGAGTTAAGGGAGACTTTTACCTTGCTATTGTTATCTCTGTAACTAATTACATCTTAAAATCTTAAAACCATTGACAGTTAAGGGAAAACAAACTTGTGCATTTGGGCATGGCAGGTCTTTTCTGCTGTTTGACAGGAGTTTCTACCTCCACACTGATCTTTTCTGATGCTACTCTTAGGTAATGTGTCTTCTCTCTTGTTTGTAATCATTTCTCCCTTTTATTTGTAATACACAAAATATTTAAGAAGCTCAAGTAATTAAGATAGTGCTACCTCAAAAACATGAAATGCTACTCTTATGTACGCTCATGTTTGTTCTGCTGAGCAGGCCCATCTCAGTGACAGAGAGAACTGCAAATAATACAAACTGACATCAAACAGTAGCTATTGCTGTAAGCAGGCAGAACAAAAGTTATTTCTGCATTTCTTGACACAGAAACACATGGGTGACTATATACTGTGTGAAAAAAAACTTTATGATAAAACCTTATGACAAAAAAACAAGAATCCTTTGCTAATAAAATACTGTTATTTTTGGATAAACAAAACCAAAATCAAATAAGAACAAACAAGTGTATATATGCCATGCATAACACACAGTCCCATATGATCAACATTAGTGATTTTAGCAGTGTACATTCAGAAATGGGAGTTTTCACTAGAATGAAAATTGCTTCCACATCATTTGGAAGTAAAGCTTACTGCTCTCAGGTTGCCAGAACCCTTAAATGAGTGCTCAAGCATCATTCCCTCTCTCAGTGATTTCATATATTTATACTTACTGTCACAAGTAGGAGAGGATCAGCAAGGATTTGTTCCTTGTTCCGAAGATCATGGAGTCTGCTACCCGCCAGCAGGTTCTGCTTCCAGCAGCTGAAGCTCTTACTCATCACAAATCTTGTTCCTGACATACTTCAGCATCCAAAACTTCTTTTACACCTTCTGGGGTCCTATATTTAGGTATTTCTTCTCCCCAGTTGCTCTAAGCCAGAAGCATATCCCTTTACATAGAAGATTCTTTAATTTGTTCACACTGCTTTTTTGGCATTTGTTTCCTTGGTAGGTTCCGCTTCTGTAGACTATTCAGTACTGAGTGTATTATGAAAGTCTAGGTGGTATTCTCCTTTATAAATCACAGATATACACAAGATTGGCAGGATTCTTGAATACTGGCCTGCAGCATCCCAGATCCATAGTGCCAGAGAGAGGTTTAGATAGATCTTTGATCCTGAAGGCCAGAATTTGGTTATATTCACAAACATGTTTGGAAGCTTGCAAAAGCGGCCAAGAGAGGGAACAGGGGATGCCAGTGATGAGCTGTGCAGAAATGTCACCTCCTGGAGAACCATCTAATAGATGGACTGCATCTGAGTTCTGCTAATGCTCTTCATTAAGCAAACACGTTTAGCACTGCTGCAGTCACGACTCGAATATGCAGCACACCAGCACATGTTGGAATCCAGGACGCCCAGTTCAACAGAGAAGAGTGAATAATATAAATGGCATTAACTGCAATAAATGTCAGGATATTTTTTGATGGAAAGCATGTTCATATCTCAAAATCAATCCTTTCAGCAGGCAAATAAATGATCTCAACATTTTTCAGGGAAATCTCAGTAGCATTCCTTGGGTTTGTAGGTCATGCTTCCTACAGTCAAGCAGGCTTAAATGCAATGTTAATAATGATGTTTTTTTACATATTTTGAATGGAACATGATGAACATACACATTCTTGTGTTTCTGCTGCATTCTTTTCTTGCAGAAGCCCCAGTTGGTAGTAAAGCAGTTCACAGCACAGACATTTCTGTGGAGGAGAAGCTTCTGCAGCAAGCCAGCCTTGTACTGATAGCAAGCAGTTCTCATGCTGCAACATCATAGTTAGCTGCATCAAGCAACACATAAATCATGAAGACAAAGTGCTGCTGAGCAGCGAGGCAGCTTTCCCTGGCCAGGCTGTAAGAAGAAGCCGCAGTTACCAAATCAGTGTCTTGGCAATGAAACTGCACAGCGCCTCCATGGAGCAGGTTAGTGGGATTGGGTCCCTTCCTCTAGAGGAAAGTTTGTGCTGCAGTTTGGCCTCACCCACCTTCAGGCAGCTGAGTTGCTGTTGACTTGAAAGCAAAAAGTTTGAGAAATGCTGCTAAAAGGCCTCATATTGTCTGACATCCTGTGACAAGAAAAAATAAACTCCTTTGACCACAAGCTGTAATGGCTCTGACCTGTGTGTAAGCTTTCAGTTACAGGCAGTTACAGCTGCCAGCACAGAAATAAGAATACTGGGCCCAAAAGTCATCCTTGTTTTGTTGTCCGTCACTGCAGTTTCCGTGTGCAGAAACAGCTACATGGGAGCTGCTGCCACCAACCAGGAGCGGCTCTCAGGAGAAGCACGTATCCATGTGGCTCTGTGACAGTGTTGCAAAATACCACACTTGATCGCTGGGTAAAATGGAAAAGGCAGAATGGTATTTTTTTTTACACCACAACCAGAGACAAGTGCAGGCAGTGCGGTGTATGAACACTTACATTTTAAGCACAAATACCAGCACTTCTGGGCACGCTGCTCTGAAAAGTCTGGTGCTTTAGCAGATAGCAACTCACAGATCCCTGTGCTTTCAGAAGTACGAATGCTTTCAAGAAGTGCCTTTCAGTTCAGCCTGGTAGAGCAGAGGACCCTAAGCAACTCCCAGTGGGCTCACATCTCTCCCCTCTTGGCTTCACACACACCCAAATCCACCTTCATTCCAGGTGTGTGGAAATGCCTGCACCTCTCCTTAGTGACAGAGGAAAGCAAAACTGTATCTGAAGGATATTGCATTGATTTCAGAGAAAAAAAAATGCATTTAATTATGGGGCAGCACATATAGTGAGATTGCTATCTACCGAAATCAGATTATTTATGTGCTGACCTTCTGGAGCAAACTGTTTTGACTGAAGTTATTTTGAGGAGAATGTGGTAGCAAAATGGGCAAACCA